TTTGTGAGCTTGGGATGCTGTTCTCCAGGATGAATATGCCTGGAACTAATGACTAATGTGTGGTAATGAGCCCCCAGAGCTAGCATATATGGATCTGGGAATCAAGATTTAGAGATGCGAGTGGCTTCTTCTGGAATGTATGCTTCTTCTTCAGCCATGGGATCTTCTAGGTTAAAGGTTTCCCAGGAGGAGACATTTCTTTCAGTGAATATAGAGAGCCTCCACTGAACTGAAAGTTGTATGTACCATATGGACACTTTGGGTTCCTTATGGCAGTGGATGAACAAACAAGAAAGGAGAACTCTATTAGGGTTATTGGGTGGAACAAATGGTTAAGCATTTGGCTATTAGCTGAAAGGTTGGCAGTTCCATCCAGAGTTGCCTTGGAAGACAAAGCTAGTGATCTACTACTTCTGAAAGATTACAGCCTTGAAAACCCCTGGAGCAGTTCTACTTTGCATGCCTGGGGTCTATGAGTCAGGATCGACTTGAAGGCAACTTATAACAATAACTGGCTGGGGTAATTGATCTGTCATTACCATGAAGTGCTAGAGTTGCTACTACATGATGAGGGTAGGAGTATGTATGAAACTCTCGAGATTCACTGGGGACAGTGTACAGTGAAGTAGTACTTCTATGCTTGTCAATGACTGTTAATGGCATCTGTACAATCACAAACTAATGTGAGCAGGGCAACCAAGGGCTCAGATCTGCTTGGGAGGAAGGTCTTGATCTCTTTCTTTGCCAACCAAACAATCCAGACCAGCTGAAATCCTAGATAAGTGCAAAGTGGCTCTATTACAGGTGACTCAGAAAAAAGATGATGAATATTAATTACTTTCTCAGGACCAGCTACAGAACTGGGAGAGTGGGAACTGTAGCTTGTTTTATTAATCCTCTAATGTTCATCTTCCAGGATCTTATGACTGCCTATACCTTGAAGATGATGATTGATTGATTGGACATTGCCTCTTTTTGTGGGGAGTGAGGGAGTTTTCATTCTAATGGAAGATAGAAGCCTCATGTTGTAGTATGGATTATTGAAGTGGCTTGTACTTGACTGTCTTAGATGTTGTGTACCTTCTGAGAAATATATTGAGGACCCAGACAGCATCATTAAAGAAATTATACATAAATTAGAAACATGATAAATATGGTTGAATATAAAATAAATATCAGAGGAAAAGTTTGAGATGATCATACATACTGTAGCTAAAAGCCTTTAGAGAAGCTAATCACCACTGTAATCAAGATACAGAACTACTCTGTCTCCATATGTCTCCCCTGTGCTATCCCTCTGTAGCTACTCCCTTCCCGGTTTCCCCATCTCTAACCACTGGCAACCACTAATCTTTTCCCCATTTCTATACTTTTTTTCTGTTTGAATGACTGCCTCTTGGTCTGCATGAGCACAAGAAAGTCTCCTGGAATTCCTATTCTTTGCAATGTTATCTATAATAGGTTCTGAACAATCGAATGTCTTTGCATAGTCAATAAAACACAAGTAAACATTTTCCTGGTATTCTCTGTTTTCAGCCAAGATCCATCTGACATCAACAATTATGTCTCTTATTCCTTGTCCTCTTCTAAATCCAGCTTGAAACTCTAGCAGTTTCCTGTTGATGTACTACTGCAACCATTTTAAAATTATCTTCAGCCAAAATTTAATTGCATGTGATATTAATGATATTGTTCAATCATTTCCACATTCTACTAGATCACCTTTTTTTGGAATGGGCACACATATGTATCTCTTCCAGTCAGTTGGTCAGGTAACTGTCTTCTAAATTTCTTGGCATAAATGAGTGTGTGTTTCCAGCCTTGCATGTATTTGTTGAAACATCTCAATGAATATTCCATTAATTCCTGAAGCCTTGATTTTTTCTCCAGTGCCTTCAGTGCATCTTAGACTTCTTCATTCTATACCATTGGTACTTGATCATATCTTCCTCCAAAGTCCAACACGGTAAATACTAGTCCATTCCAGCTCATTAATGTCTAGGATGTTGAACCTAAAGCATTCAGTTTTATTTTGACAACTTCAATTTTCTTAGATTCTTACTATGTATATTCCATGTTCTCATTGTTAATGAATGCTTGCAGCTGTTTCTCCTCATTCTGAGTCATGACACATCAGCAAATGAAGGTCCTGAAAGCTTTACTCCGTCCATGTCATTAAAGTTGACTCTACTTTGAGGAGTCAGCTCTTCCCCAGTTGTATTTTGAGTGCTTTCCAACCCGAGGAGCTCATCTTCTGACACTGTATCAGACAATCTCCTGTTGCTATTCATAAGGTTTTCACTGGCCAATTTTTTTTTTCTTCTGAAGTAGCTTGCCAAGCAAGTCGTTCTTCCTAGTCTGTCTTAGTCTGATAGCTTTGCTGAATCCATGGTCACTATGGGTATTTATTTGAAATACCAATGGCAGAGTTTCTAGCATCATTGCAACATGCAAGCCACCATAGGATGACAAACAGACAGAAGAATGGAATTTATCATATTTAAAATAATTCTGAAAGTTAAAAAAAAAAAAAGAGAGAGAGAGAAAGACTGACTGTTTGGGATGTAAAATCATCTCTGGGTCTCCAATTTTCTACAGGTAGGAAACAGTCTGAGGAAACTTCATCCATCCAGAAAGGTATATTCTCCTATCACCTTTCCAGATGTGGCCAAGGAGTAGAATGGAAAAAGAACACCTAGAAGATTGATCCAAGGGCCATGAGAGCAACATCCATGCAACATCTCAAGGGTCTAATCTCTTCCCTAAGATATACCCCGCACTCCTACTAATGCTTGCCTACTGGAATTTCAGAGTTGCTGCAGGACAGTAACTGCTTATGTTCCTGTTCTTTTTCTTTACAAATGAAATTGTTATTTTGAGCATATGTCATTGTAGCATGTTGGCTATGCAGAGGGCATATAACTTGAATTTTTCATTCATAGTTCTCCAGGAGAATAGGAGCCACATCCAGATCTGAAGTAAAGATCTATCATGAGATCTTGGACTGTGAGCTTGATGCTGTGATCAGAAAGGACTTTGGGATATTTTCCTCAAGGAAAGGATGGAAGTGAAAATTTGTAGACTATAATCGATTGTATAATTATTCTCTATTATTCATCCTTCTGCCCTGTAAAAATATTATACTTCCCTAGCCACTGTCATGTGATTTTCAGTGGAACCCTGTGAAAGGAGGATACCCGCCCCATGTATGTAAGGCTTGGGTGTGTGACTTGCTTTAGCCAACGGAATGCGAGGAGAAGTGACATCTGTTACATCTCAGCAGAAGCTTTAAGAGTCATTGAGTGATTCATCCATGACCCTTGTTCATCTTCCAAGAGAATGACATGTTCTAAATTGGGACTATCCTTCAGCCTGGATCACAGAATGAAGAATATATGTGGAGCAATGCCAAAGCCTACTTGCAGCCTGGAACACAGCCACAGCTGCTCCGACCCACAGTGGATGTGTAACATGAACAAAAATAGACCTTTGCTTTTGCAAGTCATTGAGAGTTTGGAGTTGTTTGATACTGAAGCCTAACACAAACCGGTGTCATTGAATTGACCCTGACTCGTGGTGACCCCATGTATGTCAGAGTAGAACTGTGTCTGTAGGTTTTTCAATGGCTGAGTTTTCAAAAGTAGATCACCAGGCCTTTCTTCCCAAGTGCCTCTGGGTGGATTCAAACCTCAAACCTTTTGGTTAGTAGCTGAATGCATTAACCATTTACACCACCCAGGGAATCCACAATGTAGCATAGTGAAGGCTAACTGATTCAATAGTATTCCTTGGTACAGGTGGATTATAGTTGGGGGACACTCAAAATGTCTCTATATTTTGGTATTTTCAAATAGGCAGTAATAATTACCTTTATACATATCTGTGCCCAAAGTTCTGTCCCACTGAAGTCCTACATTTTTCTTGAGGTCCTTAGCCTTCTCTGTGAGTATGAGAATGAATAAGATTTCTACCTTTTTCCTAGGGATGGCTCAACCATTGGGAGTCCCCCAGTCCCTGAGTCATACCTGCCCTTATGACATCATAGCTTTCATCTCTTCCCTTCCCACTTGTGCCATGGCTGGGGAAACAGAGAGACTTCAGAAGATACTTCAACAGTTTTTCCCCAAGCCATGGGCACTCAATGCTGTGTAAGAGCTAGATCTACACAAGTTTGCTGGAAGTTGTGTGTGAAAACTTCAGGGTAGGGTAGCGAGGCTCCTGTCGAGGTCCCAGGAAAGATTGGAAACCTGGGGCTGAGCATGACCGCATGGAATCATCAGGACAACAAATGACAGTTCGCTCTCACCCATGTCTTTTCCCCTAAATTTTGATTACAGAAGCAGGAAAAAGTGAAGAGGAAACATAAAGAAATTTATAAAGCAGAGGCACCATTTTCACAGGAGGAGGAAGAGGTGGGTAGAAACTACATGAAATTGGGGAAGAAGCCAGATCCTTATTTGTGTTTGAACTCTGGTGTCTGCATGGGGATTGTTGGCGTCTTTGTCACGATGAAGAGTTTAAGGACAGGGAAAAAACATTATTGATCTTTATTTCTCCATCTACAACCCAGTCTGAGATGGTGGGTCTGGCTGAGTCACAGAGAGCTCAAGGGGAGGAGGAGAGAACCAGGAAAATGTAAACTCAAGGACTCAGGGCTTGGGAATGCAGAGGTGGGGGCTTTGTTGGAAAATGGAAAAGCTGAAGTATGGGCAACCTGGGTCAAGAGTGTGTGTGTGTACTTGTACACACTTGTGCATGCATCTGCACACACATGTACACATGTCTATGTGTGTGAACTTATGTGTAAGGTGTCCAGAAAAGTGGTGGTGGTAAGAGGTGAGGAGGAACCTAACCTTAGTGGGATGGCTGGAAACTTAGTGTTGCAGAGCCATCTGAGGAGGGGCTGATTGTAAAGAGGATCAGGGCTGCTTCCTGGCAGACCCCAGACTGCGGTGGGTAGTGGAAAGGATCCTGAGTGTTCCCCTGTTCTCCATGCCTAGAACAGAGCTAAGAAGGCAACAGATGAGGAAAAAGCAGAGGCAGCCAAGAAGATCCAGGCTTGGTGGCGTGGCATCCAGGTACGTCAGAATCTCCTGCAAATAGCACTGAAAGCCTGGATCATTCAGAACTGGTGGCAGCTGATGCTGGTGAGGCGGCTAGAAAAGAGGCAACAATGTGCTCTAGAGACCTATACGGAGCAAGAGTGGGCAGCTGTCAGGCTGCAGTCCTGGGTCCGCATGTGGTGCATCCACAGGTGTTACTGGCATGTCCTCAATGCTGCCCGCATGATCCAGTCCTACTGGCGGTGGTACATCTGCCACCGGGGCTTTGTCAGGGGGTTCTTCAGAGTCACATCAAGCATGCTGCAGACAGAGCTTGAAATTGTGCATGGCCCAGAGGCTTGCAAAGAGACTCAGTGTACTCCTCTCTCAATAAAGGAGTGAAGTGTACTTTCCTTAGCCTCGCTCTGTCTGACTAGCTCCAAGAGGTCCTTATCTCAGAGGAGGTTCAGGGAAAATGATGGCAGCTACTTGGCATCTCATATGCCAGCTCTGAGGAGGGGGCGGACTGGAATCCCGTGTGGATGAAGACTCAGGAAGAGCAGGAACTGTGTGATTTGTGATGTCTGGCATAGATAGGGGCATTGGGGTTGCAAGGCTGTCTTGTCACCAGCTCCAGGGATCCTCATTCATGTGGAGTCTATGTAAATGGTGCCCGTCTATGGCTTGGAGCTGGTGGGAGGAGGTGGCAACCTGTCAGTAGCTTGCTGTCCTTGGTCTAGTTATTTGAAGCTTTCTTTCATCCTCTGCTGTCTCTTTCATGGAGAACCAATATAAGAGAAGCCCACCTGCCTCAAGCCCAGAGACCCCAGCTTCCTTCTTATTCCTTACCCTTGCCCTGCAAATTGAAATATGAGCCTGAACCTGGGAGCCAGTAGAGAACCACCCTGATATTTTGTTCCCACTCAAACCCCATCTGTCTCTTATGCTCCTGAGTGGGGCTAGGCTTGTCTAGACCTGGCCAGAGTCACCACATTTCCCCTCCCTCCCCCCATGCAGGTTCCTCCCTCTGCTTTCACAGTGTCACCATCTCTCCCACAGCCCCCCAATATCCCAGCCTCCTCACCTCAGACCTGGAGACTTTCAGCTTCAGCCCATACCCACCCCCAACCCTCATTGGGGTACAGGGTACAGGGAAGGGAATGACATGGTCTTGGAATATGTCCAGGAATGGAAGTCTGAGGCCCTGAAGTCCCCCCAGAGAAGTAAGCTAGAGGTAGATATTCCATTCATTCATTCAATGAACAATTATTTGGCACTAACTATGTCTCTGCACCGTGTATCCTCTGGGGTCACAAACATGCAAAATGCCTAGCCCCTGCCTTCAGGAGCTAGTGAGGGAAGAGTCATTTAGCAAACAAGTGACTACAATAGGATGTGACGGTCCCACAGTGGAGATATGTAATAGAGAGACTGGGGTTTTTCAGGGTACAGATCCACCAAGTCAACCCTATGGGAGCTGCCAGGAACACAGCTGTGTCAAGGTCAGCATTTGAGGGTCACCTAATGTGGTGCAGTGAATTACTTAATATAGCTCTTCTAGCCATGGTCTTTGTGACTTCCACCAGATGACTGGGTGGGACTATGCAAATGTGAGATGCTTGCGGCCCGCCAAAGGGATTGGATAATTTGCTAATAATATAAATAAGGTACGTGCACCTTTGTGGGCATGGGATCATGAAAATAAGGTGTATAGAACCCTGATATGGGGCTTGGTCAGTTTTGCCATCTTGCTAGGCTTAAAACGAACCACCCAGAGACAGGAAGGAGGATCTCATCACTATCAAGAAAGTAGACTTGAGTGGGATACATCCTTGAACCTGAGATCCCTGTGCTGAGACAGCAAGAAGCAGTGGCAGAGAAATGGTGGCAGCAGAGGCAGCAAAACCAAGAGACTGGCATGAGACAGTGCAGTAGGCTTCCCAGCCCACGGAGAGAGAAAGTTGAGTACCTTCAGGCAGAGACTTGCTGGCAGAGTGCGGTGCCTCTCTGGGCACCTATTTGCAGAGCTAAAAGAGCTTTGTAACACTTGCCCAAGCAGACCAGAGGCCAAGGGGCCAGAGAGAAGTATGCCTGTGGCATGGCTGAAAAGAAGCTGTCTTGATTGAAGAATTGTGTCCTGAGTTGTTTCTGATCCCGAATTGTAACATTGTAATTGTAACTGTGTTTTTCTCGGATAAACCCTGCAATTGTGAGTATTGTCTGTGAGTTTTGTGCAGCCATTGTAGTGAATTATCGAACCCAGGAGAGAAGAAGAGAATGCTACTGGGAAGGGATGGTTGGTGTCAGAACTGGTTAAAAGGTTGGAGGGTGGTGGCATGTCTGACCTTTGCCTCATAGGAATCAGCCTTGAGGTGCTGATGTTGTTCTGGATCTTCCTTCCCCCTTGTGAGTTTAGAGGAGGTCAGATGCCACCTCCACACCCTTTTGGCACCTAGCTAGGATGTGGGTGGAGGGGCAGAAACAATGAAGGAGGCAGGGAATGGTGGGGAGGGTCCGTCTTAGCACAGCCCACCTCTAGGACACATATCTCTGCCAGCTGCAGGGCTGAAGGTGGAAACTTGGGAGAGGTGGTAGAGAAGGGTAGGGGTGGGAGATGAGCATCTCTGCCCCTAAGGGTCACCCACAGTGGCCCTGAGGTGTCCTTGTATTTCATTCTCTGTGCTATGTGCTTTACCTCTGCTCCAAGAGGACCCCCCCCACCATGTTCTCCCTAGGCCTTCATCCAGCCAACCCTCAAAACTTCACTTTGGATGATGTCACTTCTCTGATCCTTAGCCCTTGCAGTGGTCTTTTCTATACACTGGCTCTAGTCCAAGCTGGTCTAGATGGCACTCAGGACCTCAGAGCTCACCTTGTACCTCAGGTCACCATGTCTTCCAACAACCCAGCCATTGGGCCTCTTTCCTATTTAGATCTCCCTGCTTTCTGGACCCCAGCCCCTTAGTTCCCCTGGGCTCCAGATGTGGGGTCTTCCTTGTGCCTTTGGAGCACAGAAGCTTTCATCCCTCTCCTAGCACTTCAGACACACTTGGCTCCTAGTCTGAGGATCTCTACTTTATAGCCAAGATATATGGAGATGCTTTAAATCAACTTTAATGAGGTATAATTTAAATACTTATAATAACATGTATCCATTTGAGGTGCACATTTCATTGATTTTTTTTTTTTTTTTGGACAAGTTTATACACCTGTGTGGCCAACATCATACCTAAAATATAGAACGTTTTCATTACCCATAACACTCTCGGTCAGTCAGTAATCCCCAAGTTGGGAAACTAGTGTTCTGTCCCTATTGATGAGAGTTGTCCTTTCTGCAGCACGCATACATGAAGTCACACAGTGTGCCTTCTTTAGAGTCTCATTTCTTTTGGTAGGCTAGTGCCTAAAGCATTTGACTACTAACCAGAAGGCTGGTGGTTCCAACCCATCAGCCACTCCTAAGAAGGAAGATTGGGCAATCTACTGCTGTAGAGATACCACCTCGGAAACCCAAGAAGGGATCACTGTGAGTCAGAATGATTCGACGACATGAGTAATATTTTTAAAATTCTGAATGGAGGCTTCTTAGGAAAAAAGTGTTTTTTAAAATTATTTTTTTTATTGTGGTAAAATTTATATAATAAAAAGTGCCATTTCAACTTTTTTTTTTTTGTGTACAATTCAGTGACATTAAATTCATCATGTTGTATAACCACCACTACTATCCATCTCCAACTTTTTTCATCACCTCTTCAGCAAAATCTTCCCATTTCTCTATCCCAACCCCAGTAACCACTAATAAATTTTGTTTTCTGTGCGTTTGCCTATATTAGATGAGTGGGATCACACAGTATTTGTCCTGTTGTGTCTGACTTATTTCATTCAGCATAATGTTTTTTTTTTTTCAGCATAATGTTTTGAAGGTTCAGCCATACTGTAGCATATGCTAGCATTTCATTTCTCTTAATAGCTAAAGAATATCCCATTCTATGGTGTGTTAGACTGGGTTCTCTAGAGAAACAAAACCAGTAAAATTTATATATATAGAGAAAGAGAAATTTATCTTAGGAAAATGGCTCACACACTTATAGAAGCTGGCAAGTCCAAACTTCTTGGATCATATGTCAAGTAGGAGGCTTTTCCCCCCTCTTGCAGCTGCAGGGGCTGAGGAGCTTAAGGTTGGCCTGCAGTATACTGGCTGTTGACTCCAATGAATGACGAATCCAAGATCTCCAGGCCAAATGGTGGATTGTTTGCTCACAGACAGTTGTAGGCAGCACAATAGAATCCCAATCCACAGAAGAGTGTTTCTTTTCCCAGTATGTCCATAAATTTACTGGAAGCAGGCTACACCCCTAGGGAAACTCCCTTTCAATGGATTGGCTGCTCAAAACATATTGATCTGATCCCATCATGGGACTAACCACATCACAACTGCTTAAACCACACAGAATTGTGGCCCAGCCAAGTTGACACACAGCTCCAACTATCACATGTGGTTATACCATGTCCCTAGCACAAATAGTTTGGGCTTGACTAATAACCTAAAGGTTGATGGTTTAAAGCCACCCAGAGGGGCAGCAGAAGAAAGGCCAGGTGATCTGTTTTTGTAAAGATCATAGCCGAGAAAACCTTATGGAGTGGTTCTACTCTATTAACATATGGGGTCACCACAGGTTGGAATCAACTTGATGGCAACAAGTTTGGTTTTTTTGATTATGAGTATTCCACATTTTGTTTATCCGTTCATCAGTCGATGGACAAATGGGTTGTTTCCACCTTTTGGCTATTGTGAATAGTACGGCAATGAACATTGGCATACAAATATCTGTTTGAGTCTCTGCTTTCAAGTCTCAGATGTGTGCCTAGGAGTGAAGTTGTTGGTACATTTCGTAATTCTGTGATTAACTTTTGAGGAACTGCCACATTGGTTTCCCATTAAATGTTTTGTGAGGGCCTATAGTGTGCTGGGGACTGCTAAGGGCAGTGGGATAGAACTGTGAACAAGACAATCAGGGCCTCCACCTTTGTGGACTTTCTTTACAGTGAAGAAGACAGAAAACAAACACGTGCACACATTGAAGATAATTTCACATAGTAGTATATGCCACAAAGAAAGTAAAAAAGGATAGAGAATGAAAAATTAGAATGGGATAGAGAATGAGTTCAGGGAGGAAACTCCTTTAAAATGGGTGGTGAGGGAAGTCCTCTCAGAGAGCTGATCCATGGGAAGGAGCTGCTATGCAAAGATAAGGGAGGAGAATATTCCAGGCTAGTGGTTCTCATTCTTGGCCACCCACACATTGGCACCACATGGGAAGATTTGAAAAATTTGATATGGTTCTCTTTCTTCCCATCCTGATTTTATTACTTAGAGGTACAGTCTGGGCATTGGACTTTTCATAGGGCTATTTTAAAGTTTTTTCGTGATCCTAATATACAGCTGAGGCTGAAAGCCATTGGTCTAGGCACAAGCAATTGTAAATGATTCCCAATGATTATCCCCTTATCTTTGGGTGGTGGCATAATGGTCATTTTTACTATCATTTAGAGTAAAACTGCCCCATAGGGTTTCTAAGGCTGTAATCTTTAGGGAACACACTGCCACGTCTTTCTCCTGTGAAGTCACTGGTGAGTTTGAACTGTCAACCTTTTGGTTAGCAGCTGAATGCTTAACTGTGCCACTAGGCCTCCTGTATTTTCTCTAATGACCATTCATTTCTTTCATAATAATTTTTAACACATGTTAACTTGGAGACAGTATGTTGTAGTGTCTAGGAATCCAGATTAGGATCTAGGTCTGGACTGTTGTTGCTATGTGCTGTCGAGTTGGACCCGACTCATAGCGACCCCTCCTTGGGTTTCTGAGGCGGTATTACCATGGAAGTAGGTTGCCTAACCTTCCTTCCGAGGAGTGGCTGGTGGGTTTGAACCTCCAGCCTTCTGGTTAGCAGTGCCTGAGGCACTATGCTACCAGAGCTCCTTAGGGCTGGACTAGAACTAGGGAATTTGAATTCTGGCCAATGCTGAGCTAATAATTAACAGTGTGATCATGGGCAAAGTGTATTTCTGGGCCTCACATTTTTTTCATCTCTAAATCTCTATAATTCTATGATTCCATTAATTGGAGTTATGAAGGACAAAAACCCAGCTTTATCCAGAACAATTAAAAACCCAATTGTATGCAAGAGAAAAGCAAACAACAAACATCTTTAAACTTTAGGTGTTTCTGAGGACCTTATTAGATACTTTTTTTTGGTTGGGGGTATTGTTTTCTTAGCAGATTTTTTTTTTTCCCTGAAAAGAAAGAAAACCAGAAACATCAGAAAACATGGAGATGCTGGAGTCTGTGGGGTGTAGCAAGGAGTTCAGCATAAAGTCTCTGAATGGTGCAACTTAGGACCAAATACAGCTTGCTGACTGATCAATTGCAAGACCAAGGCAAGTCATGTAAGGTCTCTGTGCCTCATTTCTTCATCTGTGAAGTGGGGCTAATGTCACCTCATTGTTATCACCTTAGACAGTGGAATGTAGTGACTAGGAGAATGTCTTAAGAGACCAAGCTCATTATTTTGAAATCTCTATTTTGTATAGGATTATTTAAATGAACTGGAATCCATTTAATTAATACCAGCTAGGTTTTAATGAATATCACTATTTACTTTAGTGTCAACGAATCAATATTTGGGATTCTGTCTTTGTATCCAGGACTCTAGCCATTTTAGCAGGAAAGAAAAGACGGGTTTTCTAGTTTTCCCTCAAGGGGCTTGTGGTACTTAAGATCATGTGTCAACTTGGCTGGGCCTGGTTGAGTGGCTAGGCAGCTGGATGAAGTTATTCCTCATGATGATATTGGTAATCAGCTCCATGGTGGAATCTACTGTGAACAGCTGAGAAGCTGCCTTAGGGATATGGTCTGTTTCTATTATATAAGAAGTTGCTTTGAGAAAGGTCTTGAGCTTTTTGGCACATTTGGACCCTGCATGTAGCTGAGTGGGGTCACCATTGAGCATCCTGCCATGTTTTCTGCCAATCTTGGGACTGTTTCAGGACTTGAACTAGTGACCTGCAGTGTGGCTGAATTATCTTGAGAGTGTGCCATTTTACTTGTCGACCTTGGGCTTGTCAGTCTCAGCAGTCAGCAGCTACCTGAGTAAGAGAAGCCTCAAATTTCAGTGGGCCAGGAACAAGAGGCAGAGCTGAAGCTCAAGGTCGAGGGGCCTTCACCCAGCCCCTAGTGCTGGCGTTTTAAACTCAGACTTCTTGCCTCCTAAACTATAAGAGAATAAATTCCTGTTTGTTCAAGCCATCCACTTGTGGTATTTCTGTTACAGCAGCACTAGAGAACCAAAACAGACTTCAACTGTTGGAAGCCATCTTGGTGCCTCAATCATAGCTGTCCTTATGACATCACAGCTCTCTCCCCCTCCTCCACTCTTTCTACTGGAGTCATAGCAGAAGGAGAGCAGACCTGAGATGGAAACATCTACCTCCTAACCATGGGTAATTTAGTAGAGTATAGATCTGAGGGGATTTGACCACTCACCCCCAAGCCATGGGCCATCAACATTATTTAGGAGACAGACTCACCCAAGCTTGTTGGAAGTGCAGGGTATGTTTCCCAGTTTCTTTAGGCTGGGAAGTCTCCATCCATGGTCTCAGGAAAGGCTAGGAGGATGAGTCTGTGGTTGACTTTGTATCAAGCAGTGGAGAGAATACCCTTTCTTTCTGCCATGATACCCTCCTTCCAAAATCTGATCACTGAGGACAAACACCCTTTCAAATTATAATGGAAGATAATGATGAAACCACATAGATAAAGCAGAGCTTGAAGGAGCGAAGGCAAGAAGATGAAGCAGCTCTACACTCCACACCCCACCCACATCACCATCGCTGCCTTCCCTATTCTTTCATGGGTAGGTGGGTCCAGGCTCTCTGGGGAGAGCCTTGACCTGTGATATCTCTGATTCTTGTGGTTCATTGGTGGTGACCAAAAGTTGGTGACCATGTAATTTCTTGTTCAAAAAGAGTTACTGAAAGGGTCACTTGTCATTATTACAACAGAACAACAGGTATAAATGGAGGATGTCTCAGGTAAATGGGATGAAGGGTCTCTGTACACAGAGCTGTAATAAACAGAGAGTGGCCCCTCCATGGCTGTCTTGTCTCCCCATTCTCTTGTTAAATGGAGAGATTTAGGTTTGGCTGAGATACAGAGTAGAGATTTTGGCAAGGAGGGAGGCAGAGTGGGGGGAGCCCGGGCCACAGTGTGTCGAAGGGTACAAGGTAGGGGCCGTGTTTGGGAAATTTCTGAGTCTAGAAATGAGTGTGTGTTTGTCCTTATGTATGTGTTAACAGAAGTTTAAGCTGCTAATAAAATCCACTAGAGCTCCCAATAAAATGTGTAGGTTGGAGAAATCTTTCAACATTTGGTGTGGCAGAGGGGAGATAGCAGGTTGTGAGTCTGAGTTGAAGTCAGGTGAGAGGAACAAAGTTTGTTACTTCCTCAACAGGTGGGTTGGGTCTGAAGGAAAGAGACGTGGATCCCAGGTAGGCAGGCAAATCCAGGTAGAACATGGGAACTTTGATTCATAGATTACGGTGTTCTTGCCCTAACTGGCCAAAAAATTCATGCAGAACAGGGTGAGGTAGCTAGGGCAGAGATATTCTCATTTTCCGGTGAAGACACTGAGACTCAGGGTCACCGCGGTGTGCCTGTGGCCATTAACCAGAGACTGGTAGAGGCAGGCTTGGGCTTTTGGCTATAGTAAATGCCTGGTCCAGTACTCCCGAACTTTGGACAAAGGAGTGATTGTTGATTGAGAGGATCACATCCCTCCCTAGCACACCCTCAGGCTGAAATGTATGTGTTTCCTAAGTGTCCTCTATTATCCCTTGCCAGACCCAAAAAAGAACACCATGACAAAAGAAGCCGCAGCCGTGTTCATCCAGGCCTGGTGGCGCGGCACCCTGGTGCGCCGGACACTCCTGCACGCGGCCCTCAGGGCCTGGATTATTCAGTGCTGGTGGAGGCAGATTCTGGCGAGGCTGCTGACCAATAGGCGGCAGGCAGTGCTGGAGAACTACTCACGGCGAGAATGGGCAGCGGTCAGGGTGCAGACCTGGTTCCGCATGTGGCGCATCCGCAGTCGTTACTGCCGCCTGCTCAATGCTGTCCGCATCATCCAGGTCTATTGGCGCTGGCGTAATTGTCACACTCGTGGCTTTATCCAGGGCCACTATGAACTCAAGGCAAACCTACTGAATCTTCAGCTTGAAATCTCATTGGGCTCACAGGCTTATAGGGTGGCACAACGCATACCCCTTCCAATAAAGGAATGACCAGGTCTGCTAAATCTCTGTGTCCCAAGGTCTCTCTGTCAGACTTTTTTTCCCCAGAAGGTCATTGTCTGAACTAACAATGGCTAATACTTGGACTCTTCAGCTCTGAGGAATCAGCAGGGCTTGTGTGGAGGATTCTGAGAGACCACTGCAGTACAAGCAGGAACTGTGGTTGATCAGCCGTGTTTGGAGTCCCTGGGTGGTCCACATGGTTAATGCACTCAGCTGCTAACCAAAAGGTTGGTGAGCTGGGCACGGTGGCATACACATGTAGTCCCAGCTACCCAGGAGGCTGAGGCTGGAGGATTACTTGAGTCTAAGAGCTCTGGGCTGTAGTGTGCTATGTCGATCAGGTGTCTACACTAAGTTTGGCATGAATGTGTTGAGCTCCAGGGAGCCAGGGACCACAGGTTGCCTAAGGAGGGGTGAAATGGCCCAGGATGCAAAAGGTTAGTGATTTAAGCCATCCAGAGGCACCTTGGAAGAAAGGCCTGCTGATCTACTTCTAAAAAATTGCCGTCAAAAACCCTATGGAATATACCTCTGACACCCATGGGGTTGCCATGAGTCAGACTTGACTCCACAGCATCTAGTGGTGGTGAGGGTGGCCATAGGCAGGAATGTTGGGGTTATAGGGTAGCTACATCATCCAACTCCAGTTGGCCTCATTCGCCTTGTGGTCTATGTAAATGATGTCCCTTGGAGTTGTGACACACGAAGCCCTGTATCTTTTGCTCTTAATCCTCCAATGTCTTTCCATTAAATTTAGAACCTAATCGAAAGCCCTTTTCATGGTCTACATACATGGCTCTGAATGCTCTGGCCTTGGTCGACTCTCTGAACTCAACAATCTACCACTCACCCTTTTATGGTCCTCTCTGACCACTCTGCTATTCATCAGACGTCCTAAGCATGTTTGCACCTCAGAACATGACACTTGCTTCCTCCTCCCCTAGCACTATCTTCCTCCAGATTGAGCAGATTGAGCTCTTCATTCAGGTGTGTCTTTGCTCAGTTGCTATCTCCTCAGATAGATTTTCCTTGACCACCTTTCCTAAATAGCTCTCCTTTCCCTTCACGGTTAAACTGTAGCTCCTGACTCTACCTTTTGTGTTCACACAGTCTTAATCATTACCTGAGGGTCTAGAGCTGATGTCTTGATTTCAACTTCTAGACTCCACCACTGTGAGATAATAAATTTCTGTTTTTTAAGGCCACCCACTTTGTGGTATTTTGTTACCTAGGAACTGAACCTTGTTGTTGTTGTTATGTGCTGTC